CTACTACTGCTGCCGCGAAGACTATTACTATTATTACTACTCCTACTACGACGACTACTACTACGAGTGCGGCCGCTACGGATACTACGGCTACCACCACTACGAGTAGTAGCATTACTACCACAAGTTTTTCTACAACTACTCCGATTATTGTTCTACGATTACTACTACTACTACTACTACTACTACTACTACTACGACTACCACTACGACTACCACTACGACTACGACTACGACTACGACTACGACTACTACTACTATTACTACTACGACTACTACTACTACTACTACTACTACTACTACTACTACTACTACTACTACTACTACCACTGACTTAACTACGACTACTACTACTACTACTATACTTTACTATACTACTACTACTACTACTACTACTACTACTACTACTACTACTATACTACTTTCTACTTACTACTACTACTACTACTACTACTACTACTACTACTTACTACTACTACTTACTACTACTACTACTACTACTTACTACTACTACTACTACTACTACTACTACTACTGCACTACTACTACTTGCACTACTACTACTACTACTACTACTACTACTACTACTACTACTACTACGATTACGACTACTACTGCTACTACGAGTACTACTACCACTACTACTACTACTACTACTACTACTACTACTACTACTACTACTACTGCTGCCGCGAAGACTATTACTATTATTACTACTCCTACTACGACGACTACTACTACGAGTGCGGCTGCTACGGATACTACGGCTACCACCACTACGACTAGTAGCATTACTACCACAAGTTGTTCTACAACTACTCCGATTATTGTTCTACGATTACTACTACTACTACTACTACTACTACTACTACTACCACTACTACTACGACTACCACTACGACTACCACTACGACTACGACTACGACTACGACGACTTACTACTACTACTATTACTACTACGACTACTACTACTACTACTACTAATTACTAATTTAATACTAACTCGACTACTACTTACTACTATTACACTACTACTACTACTACTACTACGCCTACTACGACTACTACCACTACTACGACTACTACGACTACTACGACCACTACGACCACTACTACTACTACTACTACTACTACTACTACTACTACTACTACTACTACGACGACTACTAATACGACTACTACTACTAGTGCTAACGCTACTGATATCACGACTACTAATATTACCCCGGCGACGAAGATTACTGTTGCTGCGGGTAGTACGACTGCGAGCACGGGTAGTATTATTGGAACTGGCACTCCTACTCGCAATGAGACTCATACGAAGAGTAGTGCCACTGGCACAACTCACGCTGCTTATAGTAATGCTCAGTGTGCAGGGTTCACGTTCACATGCCGATTATGATAACAGTGCCAATTCTGAAACTATCATTTTCACATGTACGATTGCTAATATTTGACATTTCCCGAATATGACCAATGATTACGATACCATTGCTATTCCTACTATCCTATGGCATTCGGCCCATCCCGCCACCATGCCTGTGTTGTGCGCCATAGGCATTCAGGGTGGTCGTTGGGATGTCGCGGGAGCTCTCTACGCGGCCTCATGGAGGCAGTTGTGTGGCCTCTCGGGGGCCGTTTTGGAGCTTCTTGGGGCGCCTTGGGGGCATCCTGGGGGCCTCTTTGGGCCTGCTGGGGCTTCCTGGGGGCTTCTTCGGACGGAAGGCCCGAATTGTCCGCTCGGGCTTCCACTCGTGGGCCCTCTTGGGGCCGTCTTGGGGCTCTTTGGGGCCGTCTTAAGGCCATCTTGGGCCGTCCCTCGGCCTTCTTGGGGACTGCTCGGACAGTCTTGGGCGGTCTTGGAGGCTTATTGGACCGTCTTGTACGCTGCGAAGACCAGAAAGGCGAACATGTTGAAAATGTACGTCTTCACTGGGGAATGGGTTGGCGTTTGCTTCTTGAGGCCCTCTTGGAGGCTCCTCTGGGAGCTCTCTTAATGCGTTTTGTCTTGAAGCCGCCACGGGCGTCTTGGAAAGCTCGCGGCCCGTCTCCGAGGCTTCCTTGGACCTTCCCGGGAGCTTCTTGGGACCTTCGTCGCGCGCTTTGGGGCCCTGCTGGGCGGGGTCACTGTCCCAGAGGCCCACGCGGCACAGCCCAGTAAAGTCCGGAAGCGCTTGGGAAGCTGGGGCCCAGGCCCGTACGAGTCCGTTAGAGACCTTTGATCTTTCAGGGCTGCATTGAGCTTTGGGGCATCCCACTACCTGCCGAAGGCACCGTAGCGGATATTTGGGGCCGTTCTGGGCCCTTTTTGGGGCTGTCTTGGGCCCTCCCGGGCGGTATTGGGTCTCTCTTGGGAGCTTCTGGGGTCGTCGTCTTGGGGCGGTCTTGGAAGCCTCCTCAGGCGTCCTGGAGCGTCGGAAGCTCCTGAAAGCGAGAATCTCCAAAGCATTTGAAAATCCCGGGGGAACTCGGTAATGGTGACTTCTCGTGGCCCTCTGGGGAAGGCTCTTGGAGGCCTCTTGGGACGTCTTGAGCGCTTTCTCGGCCGACTGGAGGCCATCTTCGGTGTCTTGGACGGATTGTGTTCTGGAGCCTTCTTGGGACCCTCTAGGGGCCGAACAAGTCATGCGACAGGCCGCGACAGGCCCCAGAGGGCACGCGACGGGCCCCAGCACGCGACGGGCCCTGGCCGATTTGGCAATTTCGGGCCTGGGCCTTTTCTGAAAAGTCTTTAGGATTGGAGACAGGCTCCGGGGGATCCAGCAAGGGACCTGAGGACACTCCGACTCGTGCTTCAAGGGCACGGTGGCGGATTACGACCAAGAGTAGTACGAATACGATTCCGGATGCTGATACCATGAGTGTCCACGGTAGGCCACGACGCTCGACCGATTTCCCGTTCTGGCAACGCACGGGAGGCCGCGGGAGGCCGCATCGCCTCACCGACTCTGGATCCAGCAACGCACCTACTAGTGGAAACCCATGCCAAGAAACACCCTGCTGGCCTCCAGAGTGCCCTGGGTTTCGATGGCTTTTCTGTGGAAGGCTTGACGCTCCCACGCCAAAATCAATGGACGTCCTGGGGTCTCAGGGTTGGGTTTCTCGTGGAAGGTTTCCTGTGGACTGGCATCCACTGTACTAGTGTCTTAGAATCCTGATATAGAGCCCTTGCAGCCAAGCTGCTTCGGGAAACCCCCAGACACCCAGTGAACAGCGGTCCGTTGCCAAGCCCTTTACCACGAGTGCAAGAAAATTCCCGGATAGCTCCTCGGAGAGCTTCGAGGGTTGTAGAATTAGAAGCCGGGACCGCAGGGTAGCCCCGGAGCTCGCTCCGGCTTCCGTGACAACACCTCGCAGCGCCCTGCTTGACCCTCCAGCGTGTCCTGGCAGGCCTTTTTCTAAGGGTACGAATGCCGGGAAACTCTCCAGAAGCTCCTCCGGAAACTCTTTCGGAGCTTCCAGAAAATTGTCGAGAGGCCTTTGGACGGCCTCCTGGCGCTCCGCTATCCGGGTTTTGGATTTCACGAATGGGCCACGCCGACGGCGCACCTAAGAATTGGGCCCGCTGCGGGCGCCCCGGGGACGTCCAAGGCAACAGTGGACGACGTCCGTTTCTGGACTTGAGTAATGCGTTTTTTCTGCCCGCCTTCCCTGTTTTTCTTCGGGGGTGGACAGAACCCCCACCCTGACACGTCGATCCATGAATTGTCCGTTCTCGGTTCTCGAGAGGGCGCCGCGGCCGCCATTTTCCAGCCTTGCGCCCGCCAGGTTTGGGCCCGAGGTCGTTTTCCCTAAACCACGTTTTGCTGCAGGGGGCTCTGTCCATCCCCGATGTCTCGCCCTCTCTTTGGTTCCTTCTCCTCCTCCTCCTCCTCCTCCTCAGTTCTTCTGTTGCTCGTGTTCTATTTGTGTACTACTGATCAGGAATAAGAGCCGTTGTTTTACTTGGCAGAGATCTGAGCATGTGCATGTTGTGTAGTATCATGCTTGCCTCAATGGCGAAATGTCGACAGGGGGTTCAACAAGGTTTTCACGGCCCCAGCCCGAGCCAAGCTTCTCTCTTCACGTGGATCCCCAGACGGCCTGCTTGGCTGGAGTGCTGCTGCTGCTCCTCAGATCTTCCTCTTCTCCCTCTCCTCGGCACGGCGTGCCCAGGCAAGACCAGTCACGGGTAGCTCTCGGGTGTCTTCTCGCCGGCTGACTCCGCCTCCGTCCTTCCCAGGCCGAAGTCCTCTGCGCGAGCTTGCCTGTTGCAGGTCGGCTCGTGTGGCGTCCCAGTCTTGCCCGGCGGCTGTCTGACACGACCGATTTGTTTCGATGTGTTATGCTTGTGTCCACCTGCAGCGTGAGACGCTGGCCCATCGAGATAAAAGGATTTCATAACCCGAATAAGACGATGAAGACGTGGCCTCACTTAGGTCCCCGTCGTCACATCAGGGATGATGAATATGGGTGGTTCGGTTCGATACATCTGCAAACAAGACCCCTTATCCCTCATGTTTTTGGCCCTCCTAACTTAGGCCCCCTCCCATAAAGGATTATGGGCCATGTGACTGCTAATCATTGGAGGTGTGTCGTCTCTCCTCCTTCCCGTGCCTGCGCGCTCTCTTGTACATTGCGCACCCGTTGGTTTCTTATGTAGCTCCAATTGCCCACACGTGCGCCAAGGATGCACGGCCGCAGCCCGTCGGTCTATGACTACCTGGCCTCGTTCGGACGGGGCTCGGACGAGGAGAAATCCGTTCCAGAGCGTTCCAGAACGCTCTCAGAGCGTTCCAGAACGCTCTGACCAGGCCGTGGCGCTCGATACATCCCTCAGAACCGCCGGATCTCAGAGATTCTCGACTTATCCTCACCCGATGTTGTCCTCGCCCTGGCTGCGTAAGCACTCGTGGGCTGGCCCCGTGGGCCTCGGGAGCGGCCGACGAGAGGGCTCCGGGACCTCCGCAGCAATCCTGACTCCATAGCATCCGTGGCCGCAGCCTCCGCACTGGGCAGCGATGGCTGCGCTCCTGCGCCCCCTGCTGGCGGCCTCGTGGGTCGCGGGTGCAGCTGCCCTGCGCTCGTCCGCGGCCGGCGGGGCGGGCAGCAGGGCCGAGGCGCTGCAGGGCGCAGGCGTGGGCGTGGGCGGCGGGAGGGCCAGCACGCGCCAGACGCCCGAGGAGCTCGGCATGGGGGAGGGGGTGGAGTCCGCGGCGAGCGCTGTGATGTTCCAACCTGCTGTAGCCTTGATCACCAGGAAGAATCGGGGGCGGACAGACCTCCTACCCTGACACGTCGATGAAGGAATCGGCCGTTTTCGGTTCGGCGAGAGGGCGTCGCGGCCGTCATTTTTGCGGGTCCAGGTCCGTCGGTTTCGGTCCCAGGCCGTTTTCACTAAGGGGAGGTCTACTAAAGGGAGGTTTGTCCAGCGCCGAAAGAATTTCGAGCACCAAGAAACGTCCGAAACTGGGGGGGGGTCCACGTGCCGGGCCCTGGGAGGCGATACGCGTTCGGGACTCTTTCGATATACTCTTCTGGGTGCTCGAAATTATTTTGGGGGCGTGGTCTTTCAGTACGACTGGAACATAAGGCGAGCGCCTTCTCGGAGTCCTACTGCTTGGACCTCGGGGCGAAGGGCTTCCCGATCTCGAGGGAGAGACGGCTGCACAACAGCACACAGGCCTTAAGCCGGGCACGTCCCTCTGCAGGAGGAATATATCCAAAGATAGTCCAGGAGTAGTCTGGGGACGATGCATTGCCTATTTTCGAGTACTTGTTGGGGCCATGTCTTAACCTTCGCCCAAGATCTGCCTGCATGGGGGACGTGCCCGACCTGACACGAGCCCTCGGAGCTCCGCGCGGAGGCGTGTGCCTCGGGTCGGCGCGGGGCCTCCTGGGGCTCGGCGCCCGCGGCGCTGCTCTCTGCGCGCGGGGGGGGGGGGATCCAGCGCCGGTGCAGGGAGTCTGCTTGCGGAGCCCCGAGGGCCTGATTGTTCGGGGGTGGACAGAACCCCCACCCTGACACGTCGATTAGTGAATTGTCCGTTTTCGGTTCTCGAGAGGGCGCCGTGGCCGTTATTTTCCAGGCTTGCGCCCGCCAGGTTTGGGCCTCAGGTCGTTTTCACTAAACCACGTTTTACTAAAGGGGGGTCTGTCCATCCCCCAATTGTGTTTTAGGTCGGGCCTGTCTTCCTGCCAGGGGATTTTGGGCGAAAAACACGAAGTAGTCAAAAAATGCCCCAAAATGGTCTAAACATGCTTTGAAATGGTCCCCTGATTATTTTTTACTATGTTTGAAGATTCCTCCTGTAGAGGGACAGGCCCGACTTTAAATTATGTGTGGGTGCAGTTTTCTGTTCCTCGGCGATCCCGGTGTTCGAGATGATGCGGGCCGTCCGGGCTCAAGAGACGGGGGTCGATGCAAACGGGGGTCAGTCGGAGCGCCGGATCTTGCAAGATCCTGCAGGGCCACGGTCGCATTGACCCAGGTTTGGATGCAGGATCTTGCAGGATCCTGCAGGAGCTTGCAGGACCCTGCAAAGCCTGACTGACCCGGGTCTGGATCGACCCGGGTCAGTAGATTCCCGAGGCCAACAAGTGGGACGTGCGCGCGTATTTCGAGGAGCTCGAGGCGCGGGGGTACGCCGACGACGCCCTGCAGGTGACCGCCCCCCAGGAGGCCATGCTCGGGTCGAGCTGCATGCAGGAGCGCCGCCAGAGCAGGACGAAGCACATCTTCGTCGGCGACTCCCAGATGATGGCGCTCCGCAACGCGCTCCACCGCCTCAACGGCTGCCCTGAGATCTGGTGGCACAACAGGACCAGGGACTTCCAGGAGGTGCTTGCGTCGATCAAGGCTGGCATGCGCGTTAAGACCAGCAGTGGACGCTTCCACTCGCGCACCGATCAGTCACCAGATGGCGCCTTGCCCACAGGGTGCAAGGAGGATGGCATCGCGTCTTTCATCTTCTGGGATGCCTGGCTCGATAGGGAGATCCCTCTTCAAGAGATTCAGAGGGAGATTGCTCTGCTCGGAGTCGAGCCAACCAAGGGTGACACTGTAGTGGTGTGGGTCGGTTCAAATTCAATCTCAGGATCTGGCAGAACGAGTGTTCTGCTCAACACAATTGACAAGCTCCATGCCTTGGGGGTAAAGATGGTGTGGGACTCGCCAACCTACATTGACGATGCCATGATGGCCGCGACAACGGCCAAGGACTTGGGTACCGACTCGCGTACTGGCATCCCCCTCACCTACACCGCAATCGCTCAGAGGAAGGCCCGCGGTGAAATCGGCTCGAATCAGTACAAGAGTGAGAAGGCGTTCTTGGCAGGCATCGTCGAGATCCCGATGACGAAGCGCTGGCAGCTGACGAACCGGTACCGGGGGCTCCAGTGCGATGGCATCCACAGCGACATGCGCGCTAGGGACCCGATGTACTACGATCTTCCCTGCCCGAAGGGCCCAGAGACCTACGGCAGGTCCTCGCACTGCAACTGGGTGGAGCCCTTCGACGACGGGGCGCGGGCGAAGTGCCCGCAGGCCGTCGGGCTGGACGACCTGGTGCTCCAGAGCGGCCTCTTCGCCATGTGTGCGGCCCACGAGAGCCCGTTCTGCTACGCGCACACCGAGAACATCCGCTGAGGCGCTCCGCCGGACGTTCGCTGTGCGAAGAGCGGCGTGGCACCAGCTTCTCCGCCGGCGGGGGCGCCTGTCCCAGGGCGGCTGGAAAGTGTACACCCTCACGGTGGCACCGTACAGTCGGGGCCCTGAAGAAGGAACCCTTTTCGTTGGGGAGGGGCTCGGTGTTCCTTGATTGTTCTGCAGTTTGCCTTTTCTTTTCATGAGGTTTTCCATGGGAAATCGAAATTCAACTTATGGGAGAAAGGGGCCCCGTTCCTTATTTAGGGTTCCTTAGGTCAACGCCCCGACTGTAGGGGCATAAACTTTCCAGCCGTCCAGGGGCAGGCGCCCCCGACGGCGGAAAAGTTGATTGTGTGCCGTCCTTCGCCCGCTGAAGACGCGTTTGCGTCTTGCTTTTTGTCTAGGCCTCCTGCATGGGGTCCGAGTAGGTGGGGTCGGGGGATCGCGCCGCATCGCCAATGCATCGGCGAGGCGGCTCGATGTGGATCCTGATGTTCGAGTTTCTTCGCACTGGCGTCGACGATGCGCCGCCGACAGCGCCGATGCATCGCCACTGCATCGCCGATACATCTGCGATGCAGCCGCGATACCGCGCGATCCTCCGACTCCATCTACTCCGACCCCATCTGGGAGGCATCTGTTTTAGACCTTGAGGGCACGTGCTGGCATCAGGTGATTGGCCGCCAGCTTCGTTTTCCGGTGGCCTCCGTGAAAAAAACAATCGGGGAAACGTAAGACTCGAGTAAGCCGAAGCTCGGGTTTGCCGACGTTTTTTAACGAGCGCGTCCTGGATTGTGACGGTCCAGTTTTCGTGGGATGTCTGCAGCGGGAGGTCGCGTCGAAGTTCAGATGGGGTCTCGTCGTTTTCATGATGGCCCCGTACGGTAGGTTCGCGTCCAAGTCACCCGTACGGTAGGTTCGCGTCGTGTCGACTCGCCGCGACCCCGCCGCGGGCGTTTTCAAGGTTGAACACCGCCCGCGGCCCAGAATCGGCCCGTCATTGAACGATCCGGCGCTAATGGAAGGGCCGATCGTTCAAGCTTGAAGGATTCCCGCGGTGCCAGGAACCAACGCCGGGGTCGACACGACGCGAACCTGCCGTACCCGAGTCTTACGTTTGAGTCGGGCGTTGCCGTTACAGGAGGAACATTCAAAAATAGCAACAAAAATAATCGGGGGACGATCCTTTGACCATGTCTGGACTATGTTTGAGCATGTTTGGGTTATGTTGCCAATTCTTCGCCCAAAAACCGCCTGTAGGGGGACATGCCCGACCTAATCTTACGTCTCCCCGACAGTCAAGCAGTGGCGAAACGTCTTGGCGTGCCCATAGGGCTACCAAACAATGTTCTTGTGGTTTCCACAAAATGTTCTTAGAACATGTCTGGCTGGGACTGTCTTGTTTTAACACATCGGGCTGATGTTCTGAGAACATTGTTTTCGTTTTTGGAACGTGTTTTGGTAGGCCGATAGGAATGCCGGGACGGTCGGTCCCTGATGGGCCTGTTTGCCACCACCACCACCATAAGTTGGACAGGGAGGGGATCCTCCTCCTCCTCCTCCCCCTCCTCCACCTCCACCTCCTCCTCCTCCTCCTCCTCCTTCTCCTCCGCCTCCTCATCCTCCTCCTCCTCATCATCCTCGTCCTCCTCCTCCTCGTCCTCCTCCTCCTCATCATCCTCGTCCTCCTCCTCCTCGTCCTCCTCCTCCTCCTCCTGCTCCTCCTCCTCCGGAGGAAGAGGAGGAGAAGGAGGAGGGGGGGGCGCTCCTCGCCGCGGCAAGAAAGAAGGCGCCGGCTCCAGGACGGGCCAACGGACCATCCCAGGCCTCGAGGTTCGGGCTCGAGGTTCGAGGTTTTCGGGCGTTTTCGGACGCTCTCGGCGTCGAGGTTCGAGGTTTTCGGACGTTTTCGTCGGTTCTCGGCGGTCTTTCAGCCTCGGGATGCTTGCCAGCAGCCGCGCCTCGCCGAGAGCGCTCCCAGGGTGCCAGGATCGTCCCGAACGGCCGCCGGAGACCCGAGCTCTGACCCAAGAACCAGCTTCGGCGGCGGACCGAGATCGAGGTCGGTTCGGAGAGGGCTCCCCAGGCGTTCCTCGTGGTTGCGGGATGTTCTTGTGCAGCCTGGGCAGGGCTCCCTTAGGTTTATGTCGGGCGTGTCCCCCTACAGGGGGGTTTTCGACGAAAAATTACCCTGGCGACGTACCCAACCCCTGCGCAAACGCGGGGCGCAAATAGTTTAGGACACTTTATAAGGGGGGCGAAGACGGAGCGAAGGTTGCGAAGGTTACATATGTCTGCAGACGGAATTCGGGAGACTCGCAGGACACTGGCTTCAGGACAAGGACTAGATAATGGTGATTAGTTGCAATCCCTGAGCAACCCTAGCCACTTCGAAAGCGGGGATCTCAGATCGCAGCCCCCCAGGGATGGCGAGGTCTAACTTGGGTCCGCCCGTGGCGACACTGTGCTGGGCCCCCCAGCAGGCCTCGAAAGTGGCGACAGTTTCACAGATCGCAGCCCCCCAGGGATGGCGAGGTCTAATTTGGGTCCGCCCGTGGCGACACTGCGCGGGGCCCCCCAGCAGGCTTCGAAAGTGGCGACAATTTCACAGATCGCAGCCCCCCAGGGATGGCGAGGTCTAATTTGGGTCCGCCCGTGGCGTCACTGTGCTGGGCCCCCCAGCAGGCCTCGGAAGTGGCGACAGTTTCACAGATCGCAGCCCCCCAGGTATGGCGAGGTCTAATTTGGGTCCGCCCGTGGCGTCACTGTGCTGGGCCCCCCAGCAGGCCTCGAAAGTGGCGACAGTTTCACAGATCGCAGACCCCTCAGGGATGGCGAGGTCTAATTTGAATCTGCGCGTCGCCCTCACTGTGCTGGGCCCCCCGGCAGGCCTCGAAAGTGGCGACAGTTTCACAGATCGCAGCCCCCCAAAGGATGGCGAGGTCTAATTTGAATCTGCGCGTCGCCTCACTGTGCTGAGCCCCCCAGCAGGCCTCGAAAGTGGCGACAGTTTCACAGATCGCAGCCCCCCAGGGATGGCGAGGTCTAATTTGGGTCCGCCCGTCGCCCTCACTGTGCAGGGCCCGTCTAATTTGAATCTGCGCGTCGCCCTCACTTTGCTGGGCCCCCCAGGAGGCCTCGAAAGTGGCGACAGTCTCACAGATCGCAGCCCCCCCCAGAGATGGCGAGGTCTAATTTGAATCCGCGCGTGGCCCGCACTGTGCTGGCCCCCCCAGCAGGCCTCGAAAATGGCGACAGTTTCACAGATCGCAGCCCCCCCAGGGATGGCGAGGTCTGATTTGAATCCGCGCGTCGCCCTCACTGTGCTGGCCCCCCCAGCAGGCCTCGAAAATGGCGACAGTTTCACAGATCGCAGCCCCCCAGGGACGGCGAGGTCTAATTTGAATCTGCGCGTCGCCCTCACTGTGCTGGGCCCCCCAGCAGGCCTCGAAAATGGCGACAGTCTCACAGATCGCAGCCCCCCCAGGGATGGCGAGGTCTAACTTGAATCTGCGCGTCGCCCTCACTGTGCTGGGCCCCCCAGCAGGCTTCGAAAATGGCGACAGTTTCACAGATCGCAGCCCCCCAGGGATGGCGAGGTCTAATTTGAATCTGCGCGTGGCCCTCACTGTGCTGGGCCCCCCAGCAGGCCTCGAAAGTGGCGACAGTTTCACAGATCGCAGCCCCCCAGGGATGGCGAGGTCTAATTTGAATCTGCGCGTCGCCCTCACTTTGCTGGGCCCCCCAGCAGGCCTCGAAAGTGGCGACAGTTTCACAGATCGCAGCCCCCCCAGGGATGGCGAGGTCTAACTTGAATCTGCGCGGGGCCCTCACTTTGCTGGGCCCCCCAGCAGGCCTCGAAAATGGCGACAGTTTCACAGATCGCAGCCCCCCAGGGACGGCGAGGTCTGATTTGAATCTGCACGGGGCCCTCACTGTGCTGGGCCCCCCAGCAGGCCTCGAAAATGGCGACAGTTTCACAGATCGCAGCCCCCCCAGGGATGGCGAGGTCTAATTTGAATCTGCGCGGGGCCCTCACTTTGCTGGGCCCCCCAGCAGGCCTCGAAAATGGCGACAGTTTCGCAGATCGCAGCCCCCCGCAGGCAAGACAGGAGGAGGCAGGGAGGGAGAAAAAAGGAGGAAGGAAGGAAGAAAGGAGTGGAGACCACACTGCTCTATTCAAAACTAATACCCAACCAAGGAGGGTTAAAAATAAAAATCACCCCAAAAATAATCAAAGCATGGTCCAAAAATAGTCTGGGGACTATTATTTGAGTATTGTTTGACCTTTTTGGTGCATTTTTGTGTGTGTTTTTTTATTGTTCGTCGAAAATCCCCCTGTAGAGGGACACGCCCGACTTAACCTTAGGTGCTCTGTTTGGTTTGGCCCAGGGAGGGTCTCGTGTTCTTGAAGGATGCTCTTCTGGCCCAGGTCCTTCCTTGGGTTGGGTACCGGCCCCGTGGGTTGTCCTTAGGTTGGGCGTGTCCTTCCACAAGAGGAACCATCACACATAGCTTGGAAAAGAATAGTCCGGGGACGATGTCTCGCCCCACCTGGGGCCGTCTTTTCATGTTTCGATGATCTGTCCCTCCACAGGAGGAAACATAACAAGCAGCCTGAAAAAAAATCAGGGGACGATGTCTCGCCCCACGCGGGGCCGCTTGTGCCATGCTTCGACGAGTTGCCACTTGTCCTTAGGTTGGGCGTGTCCCTCTACAGGAGGAATCATCACACATAGCTTGGAAAAGAATAGTCTGGGGACGATGTCTCGCCCCACCTGGGGCCGTCTTTTCATGTTTCGATGATCTGTCCCTCCACAGGAGGAAACATAACAAGCAGCCTGAAACAAAAACAGTCCGGGGACGATGTTTCGCCCCACTTGGGGCCGCTTGTGCCATGCTTCGACGACTTGTCACTTGTCCTTAGGTCGGGCGTGTCCCTCCACAGGAGGAACCATCACACATAGCTTGGAAAAGAATAGTCCGGGGACGATGTCTCG